AGTTAATAATATAGAGGTAAAGTAAGTTAAAAAATAAGAAATTTTTTTTATTTATATAATTTTAAGATATAAAATGAAAATTTTAAAAATTGTTGGGTGATGTGGACTTCCACTACGCCTTAGTAAACTGAAGAGTGATTAATAGCGGTAGGGTTTTGGACTTTTATCTAAAAAAATATGAGTAATGATGGAGGGGATGAAAACGGGAACGAAATGAAGGATGACAAGTGATGTAAGATTTATGTATGTGATGTAATTACTAATTTAACCCCTTACATCACCTGTTGTCCCTCATTTCATCCCCGTTTTCGTCCCCTCCATCATTACTAAAAAAATATACGTAATAAAATGAGGAATGCCTTTTGAAAAATCGTAAGTAACACTACTTTTTGAATATTCTCTATATTATTAGGTATACATCATATAAATTTAATATAATTGATTATAATTTTAAATATAAAAATTTTTAATTTTAGTTCCAATCACTAATCACTAATAACATTAAATTTTTATTCTATATAATTCAATCATATAAAGAATATTAAAAAGAGTATTCTTAATATTTTTCTAATAAAATATATTTAAAAAATTTTGGGCTTAAGCACGGCACGGCACGGCACAGCACAGCACGACACCAAAATCCCAAACGCACACCAAAATCTCAAAAAAATGTTATAATTATAATATCACGTGATATTATAAGTATATAATATGATATATTATTATATAATTAATATTTTATTTAAAAATTTATTTATAATATTATATGTATAAACTCATTTAATATTATGTTATATTTTATTAAATATCAGGTAAAATAATAAACTTATAATCTTATATATATAGTATCGTTACTATGGTTTTACCGAAATCCCAAAATGAATATTATTAAACAAATTTTGGGCTCTGTTCCATCGGCCGAGAGGAGGAATAGAATTTGGGCTTTAATTTAGGAAGAGTTGCTTTCAAGGCCTGCACGATGTGAAGGTTTGTTTGTGTTGCGGGCTCAATCGAGTTGAGCTCAACTACTTTCCAACTAATGGATATTTCTTACCCAATAAAACCCACTACTCACAGACTGAGGGCCCATAAGATATGTGCTAAATTAATGCAGCTGGTTAATCATGGAGTGAGCTTTACCTTGGTGGATAACGTAAAGAAAGAGATGCAGGATTTCTTCAACCTCCCATTGGAAGAGAAGAAAAAATATTGGCAGTATCCAGGAGAAGTAGAAGGATTTGGACAGGCCTTTGTTGTCTCCAAGGAGCAAAAGCTTGATTGGGCAGATCTCTTCTTCATGACTACACTCCCAAAACATTTTAGAAAACCCCACTTGTTCCCTAAGCTCCCTCTTCCTTTCAGGTCTCTTCTGGTTTTCTTCTCTCATTCTACCTTAGCAGAATTTTGGGTTTTAACTTACCTGTTTTGTTTTATCATGTTTGTAGAGAAACATTGGAAATGTACTCACTGGAGATGAAAAATGTAGCCATGTGTATCATAACAAAGATTGCAAAAGCTCTTGGTTTGAAAGAGGGAGAAATGGAGGAGTTCTTTGAAGGAGGAAGGCAGTCAATGAGGATGAATTATTACCCTCCATGTCCTCAACCAGACAAGGTTATTGGACTCACCCCTCATTCTGATTCCGTAGGTCTCACCATCCTTCTTCAGGTGAATCAAGTAGATGGCCTCCAGATTAAGAAAGATGGCAAGTGGGTTGCTGTGAAGCCCCTCCCAAATGCCTTCATTGTCAACATTGGAGACATTTTAGCGGTAAGTTTAATTACATAATATTCTTTTAATTTGCACCTACTACTTCACTTATTACTAATTTGGTTTTCGAGTTTAGCTCCATAATTTTACCCATGGTGGTAAAGCCAAAGGGTTAACTTAATTTTTCTCATACAAACTTTGATGATTCTATTTATAAATTCTAAGAACAGTAATATTTAGTTAATTTCAAGCAACTAGTATGAATGTGTATATATATAAGCTAGTACATATATATATGAAATTAGTATTTGTCAGTTATACATCTAAAAAATTAAGAGGATAAATACTTAAAACTTACATCGTTTTATTAAAATATTAAAAGAAAAAACTAAAACAAATAAAATTTTAATTTAAAAATAAGTTATTTTAATTTGTTCAATAAAAATTTATCGAAACAATATAATTTGATGATTTTTTTAATGTTTTAGTCTTTAGAAATTCAACTAATAAATACAAATTAAAAATAAATTATTTTATATATTAAGGTTGTTATATATGTTGGCAGATCATAACAAATGGAGCATATCACAGCGTTGAACATCGTGCAACGGTTAACTCAGAAAGAGAAAGGCTTTCAATTGCTACATTTTACAGTGCAAGGCATGATGGGGAAATAGGACCTGCAAGAAGTTTGATCACTCAAAAAACACCTGCGTTGTTCAAGAGAGTGCCAACAGAAGAATACCTTAGAGGAATATTTGCTCGTGCGCTTCAAGACAAACCTTACCTTGATACCATGAGACTATAACATGGTACTCCTCTAATTAATGTGCTAGTTGGGACAATGCTGTCTGAAAAAACGTGGATTAGTCACAGAATGAGTAGCACTACTATGCTACCATATATACAACCACTTAACTTGGAGTACGGACCCTCACCGTTCTCCCTTTGATAAAATATATATTATTTCTGATTAAAAAACAATAAATTACAATGTAGATCTAATAAAAGTTTCATATATTTTATGTATCTTGCCATCGAATAAATTCTATCTAATACTAATTAAGAGCTGTATAAAGATTTTGTTTTGCGCTTTTTTTTTTTTTCATTGTTCTTTCTTTAACACACTACTTTTTTTTTTTTTTTTTTTAACAGGGTTACAAATATGGGGAGGGGGGAATTGAACCCCAGCCCTCGAACTGGAGAGATGGACCTTACAAATCGATCTATGACCGTTCGACTGTGAGACCCAGGTGCCTAAACACTTAACTATTGGAGCTTGCTCTTTAAGTGCACTTAATTTTTTTTATAAAAGAAAGTCAAAATTACACCATTTTAATCTCTTTGATAAGCATTGATAAGCAAAAGAATTTGATCACCCGCGCATGTGCATGCTGCTTGCTCTGCTGAGCGACGCCCACCAGGGCCAAATTAAGTAGGTTGCTCCTTTTTCTTTTTCTTTTTTTTATAATAATTTTTTTTTGTAATTTATTTGAATAAAATAATGTGATGTAATTTTTAAAAAGTTCTATTTAAAATATATGTATTGAAAGGGATGTGTTTTATTAGTTTTTTTTTTATTTAAAAATTAAATATTTAAAAATGTGAGTTTATATAAAATAGTATTGTGAATGCTGTTAATTTTACAAGATTTTTTAACAGTTTTCATTGAGTTTTACCCTAAGTTAAAAAGAGGATAATAGCGTGGTGGCAACTCTTCTCTAAATTAATTCAAGTATGGCTTGGCTAATCCTTAAAGAAGACTCTAACTCTCCTCTAGACTGGTGCAGATCCTCTTCGATATTCAGTCGGTACGGCAATTGTTTACTGAATTACCTACTTTTCCCGAAACTTAGACATGACAATTGAGAAAGTGTAACAACTTCAAATGTGCATTACGGCTTTCTTTTTACTTTTATAGTACTATACATATTATTATATCAATTAAAGCAATCTTTAAGTATATGTGTCTTTCGTACTTGGGCCTTTGAGTCCAGTGACATCAGATCACGTATAAGTGCATTTCTTTCACCTCAGAGTAACGGTTCGAATCCGATCCTATGCGAATTTATTCAAAAAAAAAAAAGTATACGTGTCTCTCTTTGCATTTAATTATTTTTTATTCATTATGATTATGGTTTTCATTTATATTTAGAGGTATAAATTATAGCCTTAGCTTGGCTTTAGGTGCCTTTACATATGAATTCTAATCTCTTTTCAATTAATAATCTGTATTTCATAAAAAACAAATGATTACTTAATCTGATGTGGATAAATTTTTTTCACAACAAAAACTATGATATTATTAGACACACAAATCTTGGAACCAACAGATTTAATTTTTTTTAATGCATTGGATTACTATGAATGGTGCATTCTTAAAATTATTTCGAGAAAAATTAATTTTAAAATAAATATAAATTAACTAAAAAATACTTTAATAGTGAATATATATATATATTCACCCCTTCTCTAGCTACATCAAAAAGATACAATATATCAAAAAGAAAAAGGAAGAAAAAGGACTTCAGTCATACAAGCCATTTTGACATAAACTTATGTTACATTTCCTTTTATAAATATGTATATATACATATTTATTTATTTTGATTGTACAGTGAAAGGTAACTATTTTTTATCCTTTATCGTACTTCACTTGTATGTAATGCGACTCGAATTCAGAATCTTTTACTTCTAATAGAAAGAGATGATCACTGAATTATTTAAGTCATTAATCTCTTTATAAATATATTGAAGTAGATCTTGTCATAAACATATGCTACATTCTTTTTATAAATATATATTGAAATACCCTCAGTCTGCAACCTCGCTCAGAATCCCGAAGAGACAGATCAAGAGTTACATCTGCATCTTTTTTGAAGAAAACATGGAAGCAAAGGCAATGAATCTAGGAAATTCCTTGTTCGTTCCTTGTGTTCAAGAGCTGGCCAAAGAGTCCTTAGCAACAATCCTGCCGAGATACATCCGGTCTGACCAACAACAACCGGTTGTTTCTGACACCGGCTTGGTGCTGGAAATCCCTCTGACTAATATGCAGAGCTTGCTTTCTGATGGATCGATGGAAGCTGAGACTGAGTTAGCCCAAACTCGACTCTGCCTGTAGAGAGTGGGGATTCTTCCAGATACATATCTCAATACGCTCATACCATATATAGGAGTTGAGAACATTAGTAACAAACATAAACATTGTATATACATGAAACTCAATAAATTGAGGTAAATATATGAACATGGAAGGTGAAAGAGATGGACATGAGCGGAATTGTTCTTTTCTTACTTTTCTCTTTTGCCTTTTTTCATCATCTTTCATGAGAATTTGTACGTGGTTAGCAACCCACGCTCACCTGATCAATGGAAAGCATGACATTCTCTCACCTAATACATCACTATTTCATTTCAATCGCAAGACTTAGATGATAGATCGATGAATTATGAAATTCGTTGATAATGGGCCATCCCACCACCCTTGAGCGTAGACTTTTTTCTCATTACTTGTTGAAAGGATAGTTTACAAACATACCTAGGAGATTAATCGAGAATTACATATCCACGTATAAAAAAAGCTGATGAAGTTCCACGATTCTCTACCTAACATTGACTTTACATCTACGAAGCTAATTTCTTTGGTAATGTAATTGTCATACTTATAATAAGTCATTAACTTCAATTATTTATTTTATTGGCATGGGTGATACATGTCCCTCTAATGATTTATTTTTAAATTAATTGAAAATTTAATTAATTCAATTGCTTAAATTCAATTTCCTGGCTAAAACTGTGAATTATCAATTTGCATCTCTAAATTATACTGCAGCTTGTAAATCATGAAGTGAGCTCATTTTTGCTGGAAAAAGTAAAGAAAGAGGTTCAAGATTTCTTCAGCCTCCCAATTGAAGAGAAGATAAAATATTCGCAGTAACCAGGAGAGCTGGAAGGATTTGGATAGGCCTTTGTTTTCTCTGAAGAGCAAAAGCTTGATTGGGTTGATCTCCTTTTCATGTTCACCCAGCCAGTCCATTTTAGAAAGCCAGACCTTTTCCTTAAGCTCCCTCCTCCATTCAGGTCCACATCCCTTTCTCAATCCCTCCTATCTTTGAGTTGGTTTTTGGTTTACAACTGAACAATTTTCTCATGTAGGGAAGCATTGGAACTTTACTCATTGAAGTTGAAAAATCTAGCCATGGCCATCTTCAAAAAGATGGAAAAAGCTCTTGACATGGAAACCAGGGAAATGGAGGAGTTCTTTGGAAAGAGTTTTCAAGGCAAAAACTTATTTGAGCCCCTTAACTTATCAAGTTTGAAGATTTTAGCCCCTTACCTTATACTATGACACTTTTAGCCCCTTACCTTATATTATGACACTTTTAACCCCTTACCTTATAATATGATACTTTTAACCTCTCACCTTACTAAATTTGTAAATTTTAGCTCTTCACCTATTAAAATTAAAGAAAATAGCACTTATTTTATATTAACTGTTAACTCTGTTAGTTGAAAGTGGATTTTTATCAATTAACAGTCAATTAATAGTCAATTAACAGAATTAATGAAATATTATAAAGTTAATTCTGTTAATTGAAAGAAAGTTTTTAACAGTTAACAGCTAACTAACAGTCAGTCAATAAAGTTAAGAGTCAGTTAACAGTCAGCTAATAAAGTTAATAGTCAGTTAACAGTCAGCTAATAGAGTTAACAGTCAGCTAATAGAATTAACAAAATGTTACAAAGTAAGGGCTATTTTCTTTAATTTTAATAGGTGAGGGGCTAAAAGTGTCATAGTATAAGATGAGGGGCTAAAACCTACAAATCTAGTAAGGTGATGAGTTAAAAATGTTATAATATAAGGTGAGAGGCTAAAAGTAAGTTTTTGCTAGTTTTCAAGCAATGAGAATGAACTATTATCCTCCATGTCCTCAACCAGACAAGGTTATTGGCCTCACTCCTCATTCTGATTCTACAGTTCTCATCATCCGGCTTCAGGTAAATGAAGTAGAAGGCATCCAAATAAAGAGAGATGACACATGGGTTCCTGTCAAGCCTCTCCCAATCGCCTTCATTATAAACGTTGGAGATATGTAAGAGGTAATGGCAATAAGAAATGCATTATTATTATTATTATTATTTTTCTAAACCTATTAGGGTTAGTTTAAGTGATTAAGTAGTTATTCAAATCATTTTGAGAATGCGAGTTTGAATTCCTTCAATTTTATTTGGGTGCAAACAATTTTAATAAGTCAGGTTTATTATCCTTAAAATAAACTTATTCGAGACTTATGAATCTGACAATTTCCAAATATTCAGAAAATTAATTAAGTAAAAAATCAGAATACCCATATTATTTACAATAGAATTATTTTGAGGTAACATTTTCTTATTTTGTGTTTGGTTAGATCGTAACAAATGGAGCTTACTGAAGCATTGAGCATCGTGCAATAGTTAACTCTGAAATAGAAAGACTCTCAATTGCCACATTCAACAATGCAAAATACGATGGGGAAATAGGGCCAGCAAGAAGCTTGATATCTAAAGAGAAACCACCATTGTTCAAAAGAGTGTCAACTGAAGAATACTTCAAAGGAATGTTTGCTAGTAAGCTCAATGAAAAATCTTACCTTGATACCCTCAGACTGTAACATGGTTAATTAGGACTCGCATTGTAACATCCCCTTTTTGATAACCCTCCCTGTTTACCAAGTAGGGAAATGTACTCCTCAAGATAAAAAATTCAATAGGAATTATCTATAAAAAAATATTGCAGCGAAAGTAAAACTCTCCTTATATAAAACGTTTCCCTTAAAGGAAAATCTGCTTTCCAAACAATTTAAAGTTTTATAGAAGGAAAATCCTTCATCTACAAAGG